GCTAACCGGAAGGTTGGCTGTTGGAACCCACCAGCAGCTCAGAGTGAGAAAGATGTTCAGTCTGCTTCTGTAAGGATTCACAGCCTTAGAAACCTATAGGGCAGTTCTACTCTATCTTACCAGGTCGCTCTGAGTAGGATCCACTCTGTGGCGATGGATTTTTTTTTTCTTCCCCACTCTTGCCGTCTGAACTCTATTTTTCTCTGCCCATTAATTGTCCATGCTTATTCATTTTGTATCTTGCATTCAAAATGAAAATATCAGTATATGATTAATATGTTGTTGTTATGTGCCGTTGAGTCGGACCGACTCATAGCGACCCCTCCTTGGGTTTCCAAGGCAGTATGGAAGTAGATTGCCCCATCTTCCTTCCAAGGAGTGGCTGGTGGGTTTGAACCACCAGCCTTCTGGTTAGCAGTCAAGTGCCTTAGGCACTATAATACCAGAGCTCCTATGATTAATACAGTGAAATGTTTATGAGTTACCTAAAACTGCATGACAATTTGCATGCCCATTTATATGAACCTCTGAAGGAACAGCTATTTAGCAACAAATATATATATACATCTTGATTTGCAGAACAAATTTTTCAAAGCTTAAAAATGGTTAATTGTGAAATATTTCACACATAATAAAAAAAGCATAGAAACTAAAATATAAGAGTTTTAACAGTTACCCAGGTGCCCCTTGTATTTCACACATTAAATGATTTGCCGTATTTGTTTCACATCAGTTTTATTTTTAAAGAAAGCCTTAATGATGAAGTTGAAGGTCCCATTCTTCCTTTCTTCTTCCATCTTTCCTTCCTCAGAGTTAATATCGATCCTATCATTCTTGTCCATGGTATCTGTTAGGTTTTTAATGCAGTTCCCCCCTGCCCAAATTTGAGCTCCCCACATTTAGGGAAATGACAGGGCACATCCAGAGTGCACAGGTGAAGCCTCACCCTGGGAAAACCACCTTTATGATCATGGTGTACTCCCTGCCAGATAAGTAAGTGTCTGTGGATTTATACTTTCCCTGCTTATATGTGTGTGTTTTTTAAAATTTGTACTTTATAGGTAATTTTTCAGTTTGCTTTTTCATCCAACATTGTTAAGATTTACCTACGTGGATGCAAGCAAGCTATGCCATTCATTTGAACCACTGCGAAGAATTCCACTGTATGAATATAAAACCTGTTGCTGCAGACTCGATTCCCACTCACGGCAGCCTCATGTGTTAAAGAGTAGACCTGCTCCCTTGGGTTCTTTTGGCCTTGATCTTTACAGAAGCAGACCACCAGGCCTTTTCTCCTTGGTGCTCCTGGGTAGATTCAAACCCCCAACCTTTAGGTTAGCAGTCGACTGCAAACCACTTCAGTCAATATACCACCATTCTTTTATCTACTTCCCTTCTGAGGGAGATTTAGGCTGTTTCCAAGTTTTTACTATGATACACAATGCTGTATAATGAACAACTCATCCTTCAGGTCAAATTTGCTCTGCCTTCAAAATTGTTGTTAGCTGCCATTGAGTAGATTCTGACTCACGACAACCCTGTGTATGCAGAGTAGGACCGTTCCACAGGGTTTATAAGGCTGTGACCTTTTGGAAGGAGATCGCCAGGCCTGTCTTCCGAAGAGCTCTGGGTGGGTTTGAACAGCCAACCTTTCAGCTAGTAGTTGAATGCTTAACCATCTGCACCACTCAGGAACTCCTACGTTCAAAATAATATACCTTTAATCTGATCACTTCTTTCCACTCCACAACTACCTCAAGCCAAGCAATCATTATCTCCTCCCAGACTACTGTAGGAGATCATAGTTTCTCCAGCTTCCACTTTCCTTCTGCTTCAGTTTACTGTACACACAGCCCCTACAGTCAGATTATGTCTTTTCTTTCCTCAAAACCTTTCAGTGGCTTCCCATCATATATATAGCCTTCCCCATGATCAGGGAGGCTTTCATAACCTGCCGCCCTTGCCCCCCACACCCCCAAACTCTCCATAGTTCGGTCACCCCTGAGCTTGCTGTTCACTGTCTCGTTGTCTGGAACCAGCATGTGACCAGTGGCTTCCAGTCCCTTCCTCCCTTACTTTATTCAGATAGCATCCTCCCAGAGAAGACCTTCCTGTTTCTCGTCTAAATGAATACCTTTCATTTCCCATCCCCTTATCCTGTTTTTATTTATCTTCTTAGAAGTTATCTCACCTGAAACTTTTGTTTGTTTATTTCTGCTGCTCCACTAGAATGTAAACTCCACGGACTCTGTGTAGCCTATTTGCTGTGAGTCAGAATCCACTCCATGGCAGCGAATTTGTTTTTTTGGTTTTATACGCAGAATAGTGCTTGGCCTAGTAGCAATTCAGCAATCATTGATGAGTGAGAAAATGAGAGCCCAACAGTATAGGATTCATTATGCACGTTCTCCAGGACACTACCCTGCAAACTTTGTTGATAGTATGAAACATGTCTTATACAGCACAAACACAAAGAAGTAAAACAAAAGTTTCAGAAAACAATACTCACACACAAGTCCATGGCTAACCAGTGGATTCCCACTCATAGTGACCCTATAGGACAGAGTAGAACAGCCCCCTAGGGTTTCCAAAGCTGTAAATCTTCATGGACTCAGGCTGCCACATGTTTCTCCTTGGGGAGGTTGGTGGGTACCTGTGCCCCCTCCCCCCCAAAAAAAAAACCAAACTCACTGCCATCAAGTTGCTTCTGACTCACAGTGAGTTCCACTGGGTTTCCAAGGCTGTAAATCTTTGCAGAAGTTGATAGCCCCATCTTCCTTCCGCAGAGCGGCTGGTAGATTTGAACTGCTGACCTCCTTAGCAGCCAGATGCTTTATCCATATGCCACCAAAGCTCCTTCCTGTGCTACCAGGGCTCCTTAATACACTAAAAGCTAAAACTAAACTCACTTCAGACTCATAGTGACTCCCATTGGGTTTCCAAGGCTGCCAATCTTTACAAAGGCAGAGTGCTTCATCTTTCTGCTCCAGAGCAGCTGGTGGGTTCAGACCACCGATATTTTGGTGAGCAGCAAAATGCCTTAACCACTCACTATGCCACCAGAGCTCCTTCAACACTCATACTAGTACTCTCAAATTTTTTTCAAATTCTGTTTTATTAAAAACTAAGAAGAAAATATGCTGCTTGCAACCCACTACATTGATTTTGCAGCATGAAAAAATTTGCAGTAAGTATATGTATCTGGAAGTGGTTTGCTGGATTCTGTTAAATATTCCCAAATAGATCTTCAAAGTTGCATCATTACAGGAGTGTCTTCACATTGTTATCAGCGCATAATCTTACCAGTATTTTAAATTTTTGTCAGTCTGACACTGTAGCTCCTTGTTCTAATTTGCATTTTCTTGAGTACTGAAAAGACTGATAGACCAGGCATCTTATTCTTTAAAAATATAAACCAAATAGTATTCTAGTAACACAAGAGGACTAAGAATTTCCTCATCAAAACCTGCCTTTTATGGGCAAAGTGACTACTAAATCTTCCCCAATTTACATGTTTTGCTATTCCAACTTCTCATTGTCATTTAGTGATGCAAAATTGTATTCCCAATGACATAGCAATAAAGATAATTTGAGTTCATTCAACATCCATTTAGTTGTTCATTCAACAGATATTTATTGAGGCTCCTCCTCCTCGCCTGAGCCAGGAATTTCCCAGGCACTGAGCATATCCAGGACAACAGCTTCTCCAGGTAACTACCTTCCAGACTGTGAGTTCTTTGTCCCTTGCACGGTGGAAGTGATCACTGGACAGTGTGCTTTAGAAAGACTCCAAGACTCCAACCAAGTCCCTTCCAATCCTTCAAATACATTTTTTTTTTCGTGCATTTGCTTGCTCAAAAGTTTTGTTTTTGTAGTCAATGTATCTAGAAAGGAGTGCTGTGTCTTGACGCATGCCTATTCCCGAGAGAAGGTTTTGAAATAATGACGAAGATGCGAACGTTGATTTCAAGTATTTTTTTAACCGTAAGATTGTAATTAGAGCCTTTTCAAGCAATCCAGTTTCTTTTTTAAAGCGATTTCTTTTTCTCTTCCATTAAAATAAAACAAAAAACTTAACACTGTATTTCATTATTTCGTCGTAACTCCAAGTTTTGATGAAAGGAGCAATACAAAAATACCTCACATTCATTCTGATTCAGTTAACTCTAAATTCTGACGGGAGTGAAGCCACACTAATACACTTTTTAGCCCCTACCGGAACAGATAATCCCTGCAAATTTTAGTTTTATTTATCCAATAGGCAAATCTTCACTAAGCCATAGCGGCTTTTCTTTTTTTCCCCCCCTAATTTTAAAACCACAAGTCTTATGTAAAACAAGATCTCAGTATTTAACTCATTTTATTGCTTTAGATAATGGTGTGGTTACTAGATAAGAGGTGCTACACCCAAGGGCAATGAATCCGCTAATAAAAGGCGGATTTCTGTGCTAGATTCTGTAAGAAAGAAGTAAACTAAAAAACTGAACCACATGTAGCAACGAAAGTGCTAAGTGCCAGAACGCAAGACCAGCGTCACTTTCAGATCGGCTCCATTACCCCCAGTCTCCCCTTTCCCTCTCAGAATTCATGCAAATCAGCTTGTAAACCCTGGGGCAATACGAACCACTTTCGCGCCATTTGGTCAGGACCGCGCAGCAACGTAAAGAGGACTGTGGTAGCAGTCAAAACAGCGCCATTCTTTTAAAGCGAATTTTAGGAACCTTCACGCACAGCAAATATTCTCAAAACAACTGAGAGAGGAAGTTTTTTCCCGGAGTCCATTGGGACGATGCACGCCCTGGCCTTTACTAGAGCTTGCAGGACCTGTGCCCCAACGCGGGAAGCCCGACCCGAGCCCCGCCCCTCATGGCCTCTTTCGGCGCGCCCCGCCTCCTGCCGTGAGGCGCCGGCCAGCTCCTTCAGCTTGGGACCGCGGCGCGCGCGGGTACTTGGGGGTCCTGGTACTGGGCGCTCCATCGGTCTGGCCGCCCGCTGTTAGCATGGACAATCGCCGCGTGCCGGTGAGGGCTTGGCGTGCGAACCTGAGGGGCGGCGCGGTGGGTGCTAGACGCGGGAGGGCGTGGACACATCCGTCCAACTTTGCAGACAGCGTGCTGCAACTCAACCGGTGGTCGTCCTGAGCAACGCCTATTCAGGCAGGCCCCAGGTTTTTGGGCACCTTAAGGCCTGGGGACTTTCTCGACAGCCATGCACACCCGGTGTGCGGGCGGTTTGGGAATCTTGAGCCGTTTGCAAGATTATTGGCAGCACTGGGGAGCTCCGGGACACGTGCGCTCGAGGGACACGTGCGCCTGAGGCTGTATAGGGGCCAGAGGCCAGCCGGGCGCCCATTGTGTCCACCCGCCTGAGCCCAGCCTGTTGGGTACGGGGAGGGGAGTCCGCCTTCCCTGTTCCCAAGGAATTTGCCTTGCAGTCTCCAGCTCATCCCTTTCCTGCTCACAACCTGGGGCTGGTGCGTGGCTACCCGCCTCTTCCCCCGAGCGCTGTAAGTGGACCTTGGGGGCGCTCCCTGCTCGCTTTCTCTCCTCCGCTGGGCGTTTGGAATTTAAAGGTCTTGCAAACTAGTCTCTTTAGAACTTGAATTGTGCACGTGGGAGGAGGCGTTTCAAGTCCCAGGCAGTGTTTAAATGTAATTGAATAGTCTGGTGGTTTAAACCATTTGTTGTCATATGCCGTCGAGTTGGACCCGACTCATAGCGAGTCCTCCTTGGGTTTCCGAGGCAGTATCACTACGAAAGTAGATTGCGCCATCTGCCTTCCGAGGAGTGGCTGGTGGGTTTGAACCGCCAGCCTTCTGATTAGCAGTCAAGTACCTTAGGCGCTATGCTAGCGGAGCTCACCATTTGCAGAGCATTTATTTGCTAGTCTCCCATCCCTTCGCGCCTCCCAACCCCTGTGTTATTCTCAGTGACAAGACCTTGCCCTGAGTGAAAGGTTAGTTTCTGCTCTAACGGATATCCGAACGAGGGTGGGCCCTGGGGGAGGTTAGAAGAGTGGGGCCTTCTGTGGAAAGGAAGACCAGCGTACTTAAAATATATTTAAGCATACTTACAGTACATCTCGGGTTAGGGACCTATGTACGGGGTGGCCATGTTGCGGGGGAGGGTTTCAGAGCCCATCACCATCCTGGTGGAAACGCCATTGGTATTCTGGATGAAAAAGGTTACGTATTTTACATGCCTGGTTCAAATTTGTGCCACTGTGTGACTTGATAGCCCGTTTAACCTCTCTGAGCCTCACTTTCCTCATTTGTTAAGCGGGGATAAAGATAGCATTTTTTGTTACAAGGAATTAAAAGTAATGTAAAAGCATAATTAACACAGTGCCTGCAACAAAAAAAATACCTCCTAAATGATGTTGGTTGTTAACTTCCCTGCCAAAAAAGTTCATTTCCCTTCCTTCTTATCTTATGCTCCAAAGATACATTTGCCTGGTTACCAACTGTTGGCATGTGCTGACTTGTTGAAATCCGGCATCTCTTTCCCTACAGCTTCTGCTGGAATGCCTTCCCTGGAGGCTGTGTTGGGCCTCTCACTGTTTATGTAAAGATTGATGAGTAAATGGTGGCAATTCCTGCAGTAATCTAGGACACCCTGCTGCTTCAAGGCATTCAGGCTTGGGTTCTCCTTGCAGCCCTGTTGAGCTTGGGCAATCTGTTTCACCTTTGTGGTGTCTTGAATTTCCTCATCTGGAAAATGGGGTTTCCAGAGAACCCTTTCAGTTCCTAACATTGTATTCACATGTTGTTGTTACGTGCCATCAAGTCAGCCCGAGCTCCTTGTATTCACATAGACCCTTAATATTTGGTAGCCCTATGTATGTAAGCCCTAAGGCACTTGACTGCTAACCAGAAGGCTGGTGGTTCAAACCTCCTCGGAAGGAAGATGGGGCAATCTACTTCTGTAGTGATACTGCCTCGGAAACCCAAGGAGGGGTCGCTATGAGTCGGGGCTGACTCGATGGCACAAAGCAACAAATGTATGATTACATGTTCTGTCTTTGTAAAAGGACAAAAGACAAAACCGTCCTAAGATAATTGAGTGGCAGTTACTCGGGGGCATAGGGCATCACCATGAATATGATTTTATTTGCTAGAGACTACAATGCAGAATGTTGTTGTTTAGGTGTATATAAATCAAACCAAACTCACTGCCATTAAATTGATTCTGACTCATAGTGACCCCCATTGGGTTTCTAAGACTGAATCTTTATGGAAGTAGATTGCCTTATTTTCTCCCAAGGAGCAGCTGGTAGATTTGAACCACTGACCTCTGGTTAGCAGCCAAATGCCTTACCCACTATGCCACCAGAGCTCTTTGTTGTTGTTACGTGACATTGAGTTGGACCCGACACATAGCGACCCCTCCTTGGGTTTCCGAGGCAGTATCACTACGGAAGTAGATTGCCCCCTCTTCC